AAGGAGGCCATTGCTAGAAGGGTGGAGGCCATTGCTATTAGGAAGGATGCCATTGCTAGAAGGGTGGAGGCCATTGCTATTAGGAAGGAGGAGCTAATTGAAGTTGCTTGATATGCATTGAACTCCAAGCTTTGTGACCGAAAGTTCGGCAGATCAACGGGATGCTCCTTGCAGCCATTGCACTTCTGTGTGTGTTTGGGGCTTAAGCCATAAGCCGTTGAAACGTGTGCACTATATGAGCGCTGCTTATGTGGAAAACTTATCAGGATGTTTTTGGTTTGGCCTATGCCCTTTGCTACTAGTAGCGTCCTTGCTCCTAGTAGCGATGCCCTTTGTTACTAGTAGCTTCTTGTTACTACTAGTAAGGCACTTGCTCCTAGTAGCGATGCCCTTTGCTCCTAGTAGCTTCTTGTTACTACTAGTAAGGCACCTGTTACTACTAGCGTGGCACTTGTTACTAGCATCATCTTTTTCATTCTCAGGTTTTGGCCGTGGAGGCTCTTTTACCGCAGGCCTGGACGGCCTGGTGTGACTGGCTTGACGGCATCAAGGAGGCTGTTGAGTGACAAACTTACTGAAGCTACCCGGGTAAGAACTTTCTAGAGAGAGAATTCTCGAAAAGACCAGCCAAAAATCTGGGCAGAGCTTTGACTCAACAAAGGCACAAGCTGGTGGATTGGGAGCCTTCACGGTGGTCTACTTGGAATTTTCTGGGGTTGTCTTCACCCAGACACGGTGCGAAGAAAGGTTAGTGGACGGTCGGCTCCACGGCCTAGCATAACAAACCGCCAAACCAAAAAGATATTCTTTTGAGATACTAAAAGCGATGGCCTCCAACCTACTAAGTTACTAGCGATGGCCTCCGAGCGACTTCAAGGTCAATGATGGTCAAGAAACCGCTTGTTGAAGCCTCGGCCAGTTCAGCTTTCTGAGTGTTTGCTCGACTGGTCTTTTGGCGATTGGTCTTTGCTCAGGGTATTGGCCAACCTGCAACAGACCGTGCTATGCCACAGGCATCGATGAGCTGGTAGTTGATTCCTGAAGACACTCGATGTTCCAAAGAAAAGGTCATTTCATGCGTTCCAGCTCTTTTGGATGCATGGCGACCGACATGAGTTACTAAAAGCGATGGCCTCCAACCTACTAGCGATGGCCTCCAACCTACTACCAATACCCTCCAACCTACTAGCGATGGCCCCCACACTACTAGCAATGGCCTCCAACCTACTAGCGATGGCCTCCAACCCAATAGCGATGGCCTCCAACCCTACTAGCGATGGCCTCCAAGCTACTAGCCATGGCCTCCAACCCTACTAGCGATGGCCTCCAAGCTAATAGCAATGGCCTCCAACCTACTAGCGATGGCCTCCAAGCGATGGCCTTCAACCTAGGAGCGATGGCCTCCAACCTACCAGCGGTGTCCTCCAACCTAATACAATGGCCTCCAACCTACTAGCGATGGCCTCCAAACTACTAGCGATGGCCTCGAACCTAAGAGCAATGGCCTCCAACCTACTTAGCAACAGCCTCCGAGCTAATTGCAATGGCATCCAAGCTACTAGCGATGGCCTCCAACCTAATAGCTGCTAGCGATGGCCTCCAACCCAATAGCGGTGGCCTCCAACCCTACTAGCGATCGCCTCCAAGCTAATAGCAATGGCCTGCAACCTACTAGCGGTGGTCTCGACCTACTAGCGATGGCCTCCAACCTCCTACTAGCGGTGCCCTCCTACCTAATAGCGATGGCCTCCAACCCAATAGCAATCGCATCCAACCTAGTAACTAAGCGATGGCCTCCAACCTGATAGCAATGGCCTCCAACCTGCTAGCTATGGCCTAGCAATGGCCTCCAACCTACCAGTGATGGCCTCAAACTAAAAGCAATGGCATCCACCCTACTAGCGATGGCCTCCAACCTACTAGCCATGGCCTCCAACCTACTAATGATGGCCTCCAACCTACTAGCGATGGCTTCCAACCTGCTAGCAATGGCCTCCAACCTACTAGCGATCGCCTCCAACCTACTAGCGATGGCCCCCAACCTACTAGCGATGGCATCCAACCTACTGGCAATGGCTTGCAACCTACTAGCGATGGCCCCCAACCTACTAATGGCCTCCAACCTACCAGGGATGGCCTCCAACCCAACCTACTAGCAATGGCATCCAAGACCTCCAACCTACTAGCGATGGCCCC